ATAAACTGTCAGACACTGCAACTACTTCCAGAAATCTGCAATAATTCTTTGTGTGTTTTTCTTCCATGAGGTTGAATGGCTGACTGCAGCAAAAGGTCAATAGTCAAGAAACTGACAAAAACAACTCTAAGAAATGTCTACACTATATATTTCATTCTTTGCTCAAAGCATATAGTCTCCTCTCTCTAGTCAAACATTCCATCCATTACTATACACATGCACGTGGGTATTTGTGTGATTTATCAGGTAATTGGTATGACTCAGTTAGTCTCCTGGGACCATTAGTGAGGATTACAGACCATTACCTTTACCAGCTCTAATATGTGGTCTCATTCAGCATTTCATGCAATTAAATCCAGTATTTCTACAATGGCCGGGTATTTTTTAAAACAGTAACTGGAAAGAGATATTTCCAATTTAGGCTCTTCATTGATTGTTGCAACCTACAATGTTCCAGAAGACTAGCTGATGTAGGAGGCGGATATCTTGCTGAGATGGGACCCGAGGAGGCAATATTACTTTGCCAAAACCATGCTCGCTGTTCGGAAGGGAAGTTCAGTTTAATTAGAGCAGTCCAATGTTGCTTTTTATGATACCTGGAGGGGCTGTTTTTCATATTCATGATTCTAACACTTTCGCTTGAATGGTTAAATGGTTAAATGTTATCTTCAGTGAACAAATTTATTGCAACAGATAAGAAAGTCACTAATTCCTCACTCATTGTGATAATACCAATTATAATCAAGATGTAGCATCTCATTTTTTTTACAAGGGCAAAGGGGCAAACGTAAGCATTGACAGAGGGATTATTGTTTGGTTACTTGGAAATGACAATCATCATTTTAACTGAAATGTGACAATAAAGCAATGATCATAGCAACATCCAAATAATGGCAACCATGACAAATGAAAAGTCATTGTTGATGGCTGCTCACAATATTACGAAGTGCCCAGCCTAGATGGTAAATCTCTCTAACAAGGACAATAACCCTTAGAACAATTTTCCTACCCCAATTATTAAATACCTGTCAAATGTTTGTGGGATTCATTTTTGTTCAGTTCAACTAGTGATTCATTAGTCCAGGAATTCATCAGTAAGTGTTTAAACAGCTGGTGGAAAAATAATTTGAAAGAGCTCTCAGAGCTTCATATTAGCATTCTTCTGTCCATCTTAATAAATTAAATGTATATATACATAATAGGAGTTTTTACAGCATATAGCACCTTGACCTGGTTTATAACTACATGAGACATATAATCTTTCTTTACACAATATGGGACCTTTAAAAGATGTAGCCTATAGTCGGATTCATCAAAGATAAGGTTTAGATGGATAGAAAAAAATAATTTGTCAGCTCTCGTCATCTTTGCTATCCAAACTAGATACCGGACCATTTAAACCATGGGTGAATTGACAGTGTCTGCAGTTTCTTCTTATACCAGTCATAATAGGGCTGAACAGAAATGATTCATATTAAAGATGCCAAATAATCTTTGGTTGTCAGTGAGGGTTACCACCTGTCAGACAGATGACAGCCCAGAAATGATTCTAATAGATGCCAATTACTTTTTGGGATTTGTTTTTAATCAGCACCAGATTACACAGGGTCCTCTTTTTTAAAGATAATCGTCACTGTTGCATATAACAGCTCTGTGTGACAGATTAAATAGGAGGCAGCAAGTCCTTGTGCCTCGACAGGAGTGCTGCAAGAAAAGTGACAATTTAATTTTCAGGCTGTGTGCAAGCATATGGCCACTGACATTCATTACTGACAGCATGTCATTAGAAGGCCAATTTCCCCCACTTTAGGAAACTTTCAAGTGCACTCTGCAACACAGGCTTTGTATCCACACCACAGGAACATTGACAGGTATTGAACTTAAAAGGTATACCTGGGAGAAATGTTCTTTGTTAAATATTTGTCTTAACCCTCCTGTTACATTCAGGGTCGAATTGACCCGTTGGAAAGTTTGAAAATCTACAAAAAAAGTCAAAGTGGAGGCTAAAAGGGGTCAGAACACACACACACACACACACACACACACACACACACACACACACACACACACACACACACACACACACACACACACACACACACACACACACACACACACACACACACACACACACACACACACACACACACACACACACACACACACACACACACACATACTCAATACTTTCAATACAAATCCTTATGACTAATTTGGTTTGTTTCTAAGTGAACAGAAGAGGTGTCTTGTCTCTATTTGTCAACATCAACCAATTGGAAAAAAAGGGAACATTTTAAAAGTAATTTATGTTACTTTATGTTATGTTATGCAAAACTAATGTATTTTATATCAAGGTTTTTCCAATGTAAAAAAGAAAATAGAAAAATGTGTTTGAATGTATATGTTTTGTGAAAAACGAGTGACTTATTCTAATGGAACCATGATCTGTGAGAGGTGAATAACACAATTGCACTAAATATTGATTTTATTGATAGTAATAAAAGGTACAAACAACGTACAAAAAAAAATCTAGATTTTGGGGCTTCTTATCATTTTTGGATAATTAAACATGCACTGGGTCAAATTGACTCACGAATATTATTGCTGTTACAAAAAACGAATATAACAGGAGGGACACAATATGCCTTGCTTCTTAATTTAAAGCTGTACTAAATCTCCAATATTAAATTCTGATTGTATTAGCAATTGAGCGCCTGATGAAGCCAGAATAGCCACATTATATCAACACACATGGTTCTCCAGAGGTTGGATGATACATTTATATGAAACATAATTAAAGATAATTTATGAAATGCATAACAATTAAAATAAAAAATGATATCCTTCTGTGCCTCATTAACTGAAAGTGAAAAGGTCAAACTTGTGAACCAACAGCCGAACAGAAATAATTGACAGAGAAAATGTAAAATGATATCAAAGTATCACATAATTAAAATATAATTCATGAAATGTTCAAGAATACATTTGATAAATATTGGAAACGTTTTCAACAATGATTAAGTACAGAAAATATATTTTCACACTTTAGTTAATTTATTGGAAATAATACTAAAATGTTTATTGTATTTGGAAAATAAATATATAAGAGTTCAAAAGGTCAAACAATAAAAAACTCATTATGCTCTAAGTCTCTTTTTGCTGAAGGATATTGTTTAAAACGCTTGTTATAATGGTATAGTTATGAGAAATAACATGTTCTCTGTTTCTACATTGCAGTTGTGCAAATGGGAATGAGATGTTGTTATTAGCACAATACATCACTCTACTCTATTTCCCCAATAGGCTAACATTTTACATAAAAATCTCGCTTTTTGTCAGACTTTCCTGTCAGTTCTATTTTGGTTAACAGAGCCAACTGTATTAACGTGACATATTATCTCCAATCTTTTATGATTTTCATTAGCTTGGACTGCTGTCGCACATTGAATAATGGCTGTGTTTACTGCGTCTGTTGACACACTTTTACAATATGGGATACCAGGTTGGAGATATGGGGCCTCCAAACATTCACACATCAAACTTGTAATTACCACAATGAAGCTGAGGTAAATATTTTTTTCATCCGGCAGCTTGTGCACACATTCGATCATATGTGATGTGGATGTACCCTAAGTCTCTTCATGGTGGTTCATTATAAGCTACTGCAGTGCTTGAGAGGATCTTAAAAAAAGGTTTTGGGACCCAATGTCCTCTGTACCATTTGCAAATGACCCCCTTATCTGGATGCCAGCACCACTGTGATGGCATTCAAACGGATAACAAGGGATTGATCTTCACATGGCACTGTGTCACGAGTGTTCATTTAAGAGCAAAGTCCTCTAACAAACAACTGGGGGATTTACAAAAACAGCTTCATGGGTCTCAGTGGAGGTCATTACAATGGGGATGAGCGGCGTCCCCTTATGGTTTAAAGAGCATACATTAACATATAGGAGCAGAAGAAAGTGGGGACAATAAGTATGAGTGTGTAGAGAGCAAGCCAAGGAGGACGACGGCTTTAATTGGAGCCCTGAGAGCTTCGGGGAAAGGAACAAAAGTGCGTGGTTGGTTGATGGAGAAATCTAAAAGAGACACAGCAATGAATACAGTAAGTAGAACTGATGCCCCTCACTAAATCAGCAAGTAGCTTTTGTTGAACACAAAGACCATAATATGACTGATATACTGTTGCTTGGTTTTAATGTGCTGCAATGTGTTTGCAATGAGCTATATGGGTCAGCTACTGAATGTACTTTAACCTTGCCATAACATTTCTCTAATGTAAATGTCTGCGCTCAACTTATTAGAAACCTTGTAAAGGTTGTTGGAGATTTGGAGGATGTTTAAAACCAACCTCGTCTCCGCGTGTCGTTTGGTAAGCTGGGTAAATTCGTAAAAAGGAAGGGATTNCATTTAATACAACCACAGCATTCGATCTCAGGCAGTAGCCATTTACAATAGCAATGTTAGGGAAACTTCCATCCTACATCTGCTCCCTGATCTCACGGCGTATTGTAAATGGCTACTGCCTGAGATCGAATGCTGTGGTTGTATTAAATGTGCCAACTGCTAGGACTGTCTTAGGGAATACAGCTTTTAGATGCGCAGCTCCGCTAATTTGGAACAGTCTGCAAAAGGAATGGAAGTTGAGCAGCTTGGTTCCATTACATGTATTTAAAGCAAGGATAGATGCTATCCAATCGGAAACTATTGGTATCTGTAAATGCTACTAGCTATACAAACTGTAGTCAATGTAAATATGTCATATGAAGTCCTCTTTGTTTTTCTGTCATGTTTGTATTCATGTTGGAACCTACTTGCAGCAGCTCACCATTGAAAAAGAGGTCAATGATCTCAATGGGTTTTCACTTGAATAAATAAAGGTTTTGAATTGAATTGAATTGAAATACGGGTATGCACCTTAAAAATGGGCATAACAAGTCTCCCTAAAGGGGTTCAACATATTTCCTGACACTGTGATATAAATAGAGATGACCTACCTATTGCCATCCAGACAGAAAACCGTATCCAAGTTCCTCTGTCCAGCTGCATCATCAGGTAAACATTCACAAACATGCTGATCACTGGAATGAATGGTAGCAGAGGGACCTAAAGAGAGAAATGAAACAACCTCTGTTAAGACATTGTAAACAATAAATGTTAAGGCAAAAAATGTCTGTTTGTTGATGCACAAAGAGTGCGTTTCTGGAATCAAACCTTGAAGGAAAGTTTCGTCTTGCTCTCAGGCTGTCTCCAGATGATGAAGGTGAGGACGACACACACCATGAAGATGACGCTGATGGCTACAATGTTCCACGCAGCAAAGCCTCCCTGCACCGCCAGTATACAGAACGCCAGGATCAATGTTCCTGCAGAAGCACATACATTGTAATAGAGTTTAATACGACACAAGCACTTCATTTAACACTCAGGACTCAGTAAAAAATGTATTTTTCAATGAATACACTGAATCTGAGATCACCTACCCATGATAGATGTACAGATGTTGACAGAGAAGCCCGACAGAGTGGATGGCTCAGTGTTGTCTGGAAAAAGGAGGGTCTTGAAGCTGAAAGTCTGCTCCATCCCAGGCAGCATGCCCATACTGGGGACACTGATGCGGTCGCTCTGCTCCCCCTCATCCTGGGTATTAGCCATTTCATACACCAGCTCAGGCTGATACCTAACACATTCAAAAACAAACAACAAGATGTTGTGTCATCACGACTTTAATAGATAGTTCCAGTTGTAACTTAGAGAAATGGAGCATGTGCAGTGCACTGTTTACGAGTTGTCAATTATAGTATCATGGCAGCTGCAGTCACATTTAAAGCGTAAATTAACAGAGTATGAAACAGCTTTCAATAGAATGCAGGGCTGGGTTTCAAACGTTGCTAAAAAAAGATATAAACATTTGTGGAAACATGAAGCTGGTCATGGAACCAACTCCCAAATGAATCTCATACCTGCTAACCCTACCGATTTGGGCGGTGGTCTACCGATTTGGACATGTTTCTACCGCCTACCGACTCAGCTGGCTTTCCCTACCGATTTTCAATCTTCCCAAACTATAACAAATCAAAATGACACTCCATAGACACTGGACTCGACTTTTGGCGGACACCGTTTGCAGCGTGATCGCATCATACAAACAGTCCTCTGTGTTTCTGAAAGAGAACTAACGTGCAGACCGGGGGTAACGCTGCGGGGAAGGCAGCGTTACCCCCGACGAGGCATTTGAGTCCTGCAGGATTTCCCCGTTAATATCAGTGTCTCGAAAACACATGTTGGCGACTGAAAGACATCCAGTGTTTGGTCTTTTCCGGAAGCATCCTACAGTGTCTCAACTGAAAGAGGACCACACACAAAATATAATGCAATTTTGAGATTTGGGGATATTTATCTCCCATTCTTTCACTTTTTCTGATGTTTTCAACACCAAACATGTCGTTAATGTGTTTAGTGAACTACAGCAATCTGAAAGCCTGTACATTATTTATATCACACTTTATCAGTATAAAAATGCAGGAAATGACTTNACACACACACACACACACACACACACACACACACACACACACAAAGCAGATGCGCACGTCCTCAATAAACAAACCCTGTTCGTGCTCTTTCTGTCGAGTGCAGCACTTTTACCACAGATTCAGATTAGTCACGTTTCAGCTTCTTTTTCCATTAGAGACAGAAGCAGACAGAGAGGAGATGGAAAAGAAAATCTTTTAGCCTTTGTGTATCAACACAGGATGAGAGATTTCTGAAATTGCCACTGTGAGGGCCAGGCATCAATCCACAAATTGATCTTTGGACATGTGCATTGGTCTACAAATCAAACAAACAAGGTACAACATGGTAATTAGTGAATTTTAAAAGTAAAAATGCATTAGTGAGTTTAAGAGAAGGGTGGTCTATTTGCTCTTGTACATTTAACTAGAAACTTGCAACCATAAATCTTGGATCCCCCCCCCCCCCCCTAATGGCTTGAAAACCCCTTCATACAATCGGGGTTTCTGGTCAGAATATGCTCATATAAGGTCTCTTTTTACGATGCATTTTTAAAGCTTGGAAAAACAATGAGGAAAGGGGCACTTTGGATTGGATGACTTGTTAGCTTTTTATTTCATCAAATGTAATGTGGTTTTTCCTGCATATTTTGAATGTTGAGACATCAGACCTATAAGAGAAAAGCAATCAGAGACTCTGCTCTTCTGCTGCCTGAATGCAGGCTCAGCCCTCTGTGCCCGACCAGCCATCAGATGGTTTAAACAGACACATAGTTTGCTGTTCACCATGATTCATTATCATCAGTTCAACAGACAGAACACCTCTCTCAAAAAGCCTAAATGTTCACATACTGTAGCTTAAGGCAACTTTCAGTTTCTTGCTAACATGTTGCTGGACAGGAAGGACTCTCTTTTTCCTTCCCAGATTAATTACATTCTTCCTAAGCAGCAAGGCCCATTTATAGCCAATGGTCCAAGCTAATTCCCATGGCAGTGACTTCTAGAAATGGTCTGCTTCACGTTGTTTCACCACAAAGTCCCCCTGTGGACAAGAACAAGTCTTCTTATCCAAATAATCCCAGGAAGCTTGACAAACAGCCCTGTTGCCAAACATGTGTGACGTCCATGATATGAGCTTTCATGTCCCTCTGCCAACAAAAATAAAGATTTCCCAAAGTCCTCTCAATGGGAAAATCTTGCAGCGTAGCTTCCTTATTTCCCCATCTACATCACAGCACCACAGTACAGCTGAGGCTGCAGTATGAGGGCTTTGGCTTCTCTTCTAGTTAACAACGCTCAACGCTTATTCTTATTGTACAGCATAGGGTTGCACAATGAAATGCAAGATGCTGTGCCTTTAGGCCACACAAGAAAAATAGCTTTTTTTTTTATGATGGAATGTGGAGAATGTGAGGAGGAGTCTAACAGCCTGAGGAGAAGCTGCTATGCAGTCTGGACCTACTACTCGAACTCTTCCCAGAGTGCAGCAGGGCTGCTTTGGGGGGTTTTGTCCTATAATATCCACTGGGCTCTGTGGACCTCTCCTCACTGATCTTACTGATTCTGAGGACATGGGACCCTCTTCAGAGCCTCCCTGTCCTGGTCCCTGAACCCACCATGAGAGGCATGATGCCTCCTGTTGCTCTGCTGTAAAAGCTAACAATAACTTGGAATGAGAATTTAGCCTTCTTAGTTTTCCTGGAGCTAAAATAACAACAGATCTCAAAGTTAGGAAAATCAGACTTTAGTTTATAATTATGGCGTAAAACATCTCACGATTGTCTAAATCACAACTTTTCATATCTGCACCTTATTTTACTAAGTTTGTGAATCATTTGTAAAAAATACATGTTTTATATCTCTGTCAGGGGCGGCAGTAGCTCAGTCTGTAGGGACTTGGCTTGGGAACCGAAGGTTCGCCAGTTCAAGTCCTGATCGGACCAAATAGCGTGGAATGGTACCTGGAGAGGTGCCAGTTCACCTCCTGGGCACTGCCAAGGTGCCCTTGAGCAAGGAACCGAACCCCCCACTGCACTCTGGAGCCGGGACACTGGCAAGTGCTTCGTTCAGACGCCTCTGCTCTAATGCATGTGTAAAGGTCCTGTTTGTGCATGAGTTCATGTGTGCATTTTTACCTATGTTAACAAATATGAGTTAAATATAACATTTCCCAAAAGGGATTAATATTGATTTTCTTTAAAAAAGAATTGATGTCAAAATCGACAGAACATCTGAAATTTAGTAAAGATACAAAAACAACACTTATTTATGGCATTGAGCAACATTCAATACCTTAATTATGGCAACATAAACTGCTAACGGATGCTTAACATCCGAGTAAACACAGGTTCTTTTAGTTGCCAGTTTATTAGGTATCCTCCTAAAATAAATGCAGTCTGTGTAAAGATATTTGACCACAAGACCATCCCTATGGAGCTGTCTTTCCAGTCCCCACTCAGCAAGCCCAAGCGTCAAATCCGCTTCAGGAACCTGAGGAACATCAACCCGGACACCATGACCCTGGGCCTCCAGCATCTTTCTTCCGCCAACTTCTCTTCAGTAAATGAGTCAGTGGAATATTACAACAGTCTCCTTGATCTGCACGCCCCCCTCAAAACCAGGATGGTCACCTTCTCGCGCTCAGCCCCTTGGTACACCGGCGAGCTGTACAACAGTACTGGAAACTCCAAGACACTCCTCTCCACCATAAACCACCTCCTCAAACCTCCTCAAACCCCAAAGTCCTGAGAAGCAGTGTAGCAACTTCGCCGCCTTCTTCAAAAACAAAGTTGACACCATCCGCTCCATCCTCTCTAGCCCCTCTATACTTCCAGTTCCAACTGCTGACCCACAGCCTTGGACAACCCAGCCTCTTTGCTGTTTCATGGACATCTCTCAGCGAGAGGTTGGGGGCATCGTTAGGAGGATGAAGCCCTCCACCTGTGTCCTGGACCCCCTTCCGTCAGCTATGGTGAAATCTTACATCTGTACCATGAGCCCCATGATCACTAAGATCCTGAATCTCTCTCTCTCCAGGCTAGCCATGTCCCCTCTGCCCTAAAACCGCTGTCATCAAACCTCGTCTCAAAATACCCTCCCTTGACCCGGGAGTCCTGGCCAACTACAGACCCATTTCCAACCTTCCTTTTCTATTAAAGGTGCTGGAAAAACAGGTTGCTGCTCAGCTCCAGGACCATCAAAACTCCAACAACTTATTTGAGAAGTTCCAGTGTGGTTTCCAATCAGGCCACAGCACAGAATCTGCCCTGATCAGGGTCACCAACGACCTGCTGATGACGGCTGATGCTGGCTCTCCCTCTCTCCTCATCCTCCTCGATCTCACTGCAGCTTTCAACACCGTCGATCACGGCATCCTCCTCCATCGTCTGCACTCCACCATCGGACTCTCTGACTCTCCCCTTGACTGGTTCAGATCATACCTCACCGGGAGAACAGAGTACGTCTCCTTGGGTGAGGCAGAGTCGGGTACCCGCAACCGTCACCTGTGGTGTCCCTCAAGGATCCGTTCTCGGCCCTTTTCACACTCTACATGCTCCCCCTTGGCTCTATCATCAGCCGACATGGAGTATCATTCCATTGCTACGCTGATGACACCCAACTGTACCTCAGGATCAACCCTACCTCCTCTGCAGCCCTGCCTTCACCCAGACTCACTGCCTGCCTGGAGGAGATACAGGCATGGATGAAGCAAAACTTCCTGAAACTCAACAGCTCCAAGACCGAAGCCATTATAGTTGGCACCCCACACCAGGTTCAGTCATCCACCATCACCATCATCACCTTCTCTGGCCAGGACATTACCCTCTCCTCAATAGTCACCAACCTGGGTGTGAAAATGGACGCCCATCTGACCTTTGAGGCTCACATCAAACAGCTGTGCAAGAACTCCTTTTATCACCTCAGGAACATCGCCAAGCGCCGCCCCACACTCACTCTGTCTGACGCCAAAAAGCTGGTCCATGCCTTTGTCTCCTCCAGGCTGGACTACTGCAACGCTCTCCTCATCGGGATCCCTAACAAAAGCATCCAGAAGCTCCAATACATTCAGAACAGCGCTGCTAGGATCCTGATGAGGGTGCGCAAATATGAACACATCACCCCCATCCTTAAAGCACTGCACTGGCATCGAATTCAAGGTCTCCATCCT